GGTCCATGGAAGCAGAGAGCAGGAGCCTGCCAGTCACATCTCAGCAGGGAGAGGGAGAAGCCCCTGGACCCTCCTGTCTCCTCTGGGGGTGGGCTGCACTGAGGGGTGCCAGGGACCCCCCTATTTGGCCAGTGACACAGCATTTTGGCTGCTTTAATTTGCTCTGGCAGGACAAGGATTGCAACTGGCACCTGCTGAGCCCTCAGGCCACCCCAGGCAGCAGCTGCCACTGGCCCAGTGTCACAAGACTACAGAGACACTTCTCATGTAGCCAGAGGCATCACAGTGTCTGCAAAAGGGGCCAAATTCCTCCCCTCTGTGACTCTGCAGGGAGAGCTGGCACACCAGCAGGGCACCTGGGAGCTGAGCAGAGCCCTTCCCCTCAGCTTTTTGGGGTTCACTCCCCTCAGGAGGGCTGAAAAGGTCTGTGTGTGAACAAGCCTGAAGTGCCACGAACCAGAGGGCTGAAGAGGCAGACAGTGGGACCTGGCATCTGTGCACCTGGGCTGACTCCAGCCCACCTTTTCTCCTCAAGGCTGCTTCCAACTGTGGGGTCCCTACTACAGCAACTCCAGCTGCTCCTGAGCCAGCAGGGGCCCATGACAGACGTCCCCTCTGGCTGTCCCATGGACAGAGTCCCTCCAAGTCCCCTCTGGTGCCATTTCCACAGGTGAGCTCAGTGTGAACTCTCCTCTGCCCCTCACCCCTGGAGCAGCTGGGGCACTGTCCATCCTCCCTGCTGCAGAGGAGCAGCTTGGCCAGAAGCAACATGAATCCAAGGCAGACAAGAGAAGACCAGAGGCACGTTTATTCCTCTTTCCTCCTGGGAGCTGCAAGCACTTTCACAGACCAACAAGCACCTCCCATCTCCACAAAGAGCAGCCACCAGCTCAGAAGCAAGACACTGGGATCATCTCTTCCCTCTTCCCAGTACCCTTCTGGGCTGGAACACAGCAACCCAGTGGGACACAGCCTCCCAGTTCAGTGTCAGAGAGACCCGTGCCATTTGGAGGGAGTGAAGAGCACCCTGCATGCTGCTCAAGGAGCACTTGACCTGGCAGAAAACTTGCATTACAGACATTAGTCCCCCCTCTTTTTTCAGTTCCAACTCCCTTTTTCCAGCCATCAGCCTTAAGAAGCAGAAGTCGAGCACATATTTGGCTGCTGAATACTGATGGTGAGAAAGAGGGGTCTGGCACCACGGGTTCCCCATCCTTATCCCCCCTCCCTCCCTGCTCAAGCCCAGAGCTGAGGCCTTTAGGACTCTCCTTTCCTTTTTCCTTCCTCAGACTGTTCTTCTTTCCCCACTGGCTGCTCCTGTTGGGTTATCTTCACCTCGTTGACTCTGGCCTTCACCTCCTTCCCCGTCCGAGGAGCCACGATGCTTAAGATGCCATCGTGGGACAGGGTGGCTCTCACCAGCAAGGGGTCAACATCCAGAGGGAGGATGTATGTCCTGGTGAACTCCCTGGAGATGAAGCCGTGGCGATCAGCTTTCTGGGGGTGCTGCCCCATCACCTCCAGCAGGTTGTCCACAGTGCGGACGCTCAGCTCGTCGGGCAGGAAGTGACAGACATCCAGGAACACCTGGAATTTGTGCTGGTTGAGGCTGATCTCAGAGGTGCCCCGATCCAGCTGCTTGTTGATGCGAGGCCTGATGTAGTAGCCGTGGTACAGGGCAGGGGCTAGGATCTCACACGGGGACACACCTGGAAAGGAGACTCGGTGAGGAGCGTGGGGTTTGCAGGGGAAGGAGCTGGAGCAGGATGGCTGGGGAGGTGGCTGGGACCTGGCAAACACCCTGGTTCTGCCACCACATCAGCACAATGGTGTTGGAGCCTCTTGCAGTTCCCACCTTGGTGTCTCCAAAGCACAGACAGCAGCAGATGCCTTGCCAGCCACTGCCTCCCAGCACACAGCACAGCAGGGCTGGCACCCAGCTTCCACATCCCTGCTGGGAGGGCAAGGAGGGACTGGTGGGTGCCCCGGGCTCTGCAAAGCCCACAGCCAGGCTTGGGCACGGAAAATGCTGATGATGAAGAAACTGCCCCCGAAGAACTAAAGGCCTTTTATTTGCCATTGTCCAGGGGGCTTTCCTTGGAGCTTTTTGCCTTTTCACGCTGTAGTGCTGGTGCTGAATGGATCTGCTGCTGCCCACATTCCTTCCCCTCTGCCAGCCCTGCCTGCCTTTGTGCTGAACACCCCAGCTCAGCTTTTCTCCACAGCCCCAGGCTGCAAAAAAAACTCTCTCCTCCCACCCTGGAGCATTTTGCTCCCTGTTTGCACAGCATATGCAGGATGCCAGACTGCTGGGGGCATGGAGGGAGGGGCAGGAGAGACAGCATGGATGGAGCAAGTGGACCTGAAGAGAGAGACCCTGGATATTCCCTGGATATTCCCCCTTGATGTGACCAGGGTGCTTATGCTCAAAATTCTTGGGGTGTCCAACTTCCCCTAGCCTGCTCTGGAGCTCAGTCCCCAGCCAACCCTCCTGCACCGGAGGGGAGAAAGGTGCTTGGGGGAACCCCTATCCCCTTTCTTACCTTCTCCAAAGTTCTGGTCATAAATCTTGCTTGGGTTGGCAAACTCATACTCCGAGCTCATGGGGTAGGCGTGAGGGACCGTCCGTGCAGCCATGGTGTGCCTGGGGAAGGGGAGCTCCCAAGTGCTCCCTGCCTCTGAGAGTGAAGGCTGCAGGCTGCAAGGTTTTAATTGGGCGAATTCCACCAGGGAGGAGTGTGTGAGAAAAAGATGGACCAAAATAGCCACACGCACTGGCCCCAGGATGCCGGGCCAGGGTGAGGAGGGAAGTTCCTCTCTGCATTCCAGCTGGGAGTGCAGGCGCTGCCTGTAGGCAGGGAGGTCTCAGGAAAACCCTGCACCTCCTTCCAGGTGCTGGGATCCCCTCCCAGGGGGATGCAGGAGGCAAATGGGCTGCCAAGCACAGCTGGGAGGCAGGGAGGTGGGCTGAGGGAGGCTGGGGTAGGAGAAGGCAGGACAGACCCTTCTTGTTGCTTGTGGAGCTCCCAAAGGCAAGGGCCAGCAAGAAGGGTCACTGTAAGGAGCTGAAAGAGTCCCTGACACTGGTCCTGCTGGCCCAAAGCAGCCCAAGGGATGGGGCAGCAGTGGCTGGTGCTTGGTCACATTGTGCAAAGTCACACAAGGTCACTATCACACCCGGTGCTTAGGGCCCAAATCAGCCCCTCCTGTGCCCTGCGCAAATGAGCCTGGTTTTCCCAGAAGCTGAGGGGATGGATCAAGGTTTCTGTCGCTGTGAGGGGCTGCAGGGAGCTGAGCAGGGCTGGGCAGGACCCAGATCCCACTGCTGACCCCTCCACATCCCGAGTGTGCTGCTGCAAGCTGGCTGTCCAGCCTGTTCCCTGGCACAGAGTGATGAGACCTGGAGAAATGCCTGTGCCAGGGATCACGTGTGAGCCAAGGACCTGGAGCTGGCAGAGACCCTGTTGTATTGAACTGGGGGGCAGGCAGGGAGGGGAGCAGTGCCCAGTCAAGCTCCTCTCACCCTGAAACCAGAGACTTCCTTGAGTCCATGTCCCTGCAGCACGAGGGAGCAGGTGCACTGCTGCTGATGTAATGGGCAATTGGAGAAGATACTTATGGCCTGAGCTCCTGCACGGAGCAAATCCTACTCCCTGCTCTTGCCAGGCAAGCTGAGAGAAAGAGGGCCAGACCCTTCTGCAGGGAACTGGTGGTGCAAGCAGTAAGAATGATGTGCCTCTGAGCCTGAAACTGTATTTCAGCTGTGAGCTCTCGGAGGCAGCACCTACCCCTTGCCCTTCAAGGACAGTTGTTAGACCATTCCCATGATTTAGGCTCACAGGCAAGGCAGGAATTACAATAAATATGTGAATTAAGACCTATTAGGGGCATAGCTATGGGCAATCAGCTTTCTGCCTCTTCAGGAGGGGCAGAGCTCTTCCTAGCCTGGTGGGTGATGCATGGAGCTGAAGTCTCAGTGCTGGCAGTGGGAACAACAGCCCCTTGTCATTTTCCCAGTGAGCCAAAGATAGGAGCTGCATTGATCCTGCTGGCATCCAAAGCAGCTGGGAACAGCAGCCAAGCCTGCCTGGGACTCTGCAGATAAACAGCACGTGGGGGCCGGGGCGGGTGGCTGGGCAGCTTGTCTTCTTGCTGCCCCATTAGGCTCCTTTTCTTCTTCTCCCCTTCCCCCTCCTCCTCCTCCTCAGCAGGGCGTTCACATCCCCCAGGCAGCTACTGGGCATGGGCTGAAGGGACCAGCCCAGGAGTGGGACAATAAAATCCCTGACACCACTGTTCAAGGGGCCTCGGGAGGGGGGGGATGAAGGCCAGGCCCAGCTGCAGGGTATAAAGCTGCTCCCCTGCTCCCCAGCACAGCCCAGCAGCCCTGCCTGGCCAGGCTCCTCCGGCGCACGCCAATGGATATCACCATCCACAACCCCCTGATCCGCAGACCCTTCCTCTCCTGGTTGGCTCCCAGTCGCATCTTCGACCAGATTTTCGGGGAGCACCTGCAGGAGTCAGAGCTGCTCCCTGCTTCCCCCAGCTTCAGCCCCTTCCTGATGAGATCCCCCATTCTTCGGATGCCCAGCTGGCTGGAGACGGGACTCTCAGAGGTAAATCTCCCCCTCTTTGTGTGCTCACCTGGCAGCTGGAGCCCCAGGAGAGCTTGGGAGCTGCCTGCAGGCAGTTATGAGGCTGGGGGAAAAGGTGCTTTGTGCTTCTGCCCCTCTGCATTAACCAAGAACCTCTGCATGCCCTGCTAAGCAGTTGTGACTGCAAGGAAGTGTTGCCAGAGGGTTGGGAAGAGATGCAAACTGAGCGGGGTGTGTGTGGCAAATGACTGGGAGCTGAGGGAAGGAAGGAGGAAGATGAATTTGCCTGTCCAAACTCTCAGTCCCACTCCCTTCCCCAACCATCACTGCGGGGAGTGGGCAGGGGTGGTGGGACCCTGGTATCAGGCCAGCTGGGAACTCATGGCTTCTGAGGAAAAAGAGGCCTATTTTAAAGAGTCCCCACTGACAAAAGCAGCATTTTCAGTGAGATGTGGGACCCACAGCATCATAAAACAGCTGTCTGCTTGCTTCAGGGGCTGAGCCAAGGGGCAGCAGCTCCAACAGCCTTGTCTGCTCTGAGTCAAGTGTCTTATTTACAAGCAACTTGTCGAGCTTTCTAAGCCAGAGGAGCAAGAGTCAAGTGGGTTTTTTTTTAATCTTTGCATAATATTTCCCTTGATTTAGTGACCTGGGTCTGGCTGCCCACTGAAGCAGCCATAATAAGCCCCACAGATAACAACATTTGATGGCTGGAGACGGGACTCTCAGAGGTAAATCTCCCCCTCTTTGTGTGCTCACCTGGCAGCTGGAGCCCCAGGAGAGCTTGGGAGCTGCCTGCAGGCAGTTATGAGGCTGGGGGAAAAGGTGCTTTGTGCTTCTGCCCCTCTGCATTAACCAAGAACCTCTGCATGCCCTGCTAAGCAGTTGTGACTGCAAGGAAGTGTTGCCAGAGGGTTGGGAAGAGATGCAAACTGAGCGGGGTGTGTGTGGCAAATGACTGGGAGCTGAGGGAAGGAAGGAGGAAGATGAATTTGCCTGTCCAAACTCTCAGTCCCACTCCCTTCCCCAACCATCACTGCGGGGAGTGGGCAGGGGGGTGGTGGGACCCTGGTATCAGGCCAGCTGGGAGCTCATGGCTTCTGAGGAAAAAGAGGCCTATTTTAAAGAGTCCCCACTGACAAAAGCAGCATTTTCAGTGAGATGTGGGACCCACAGCATCATAAAACAGCTGTCTGCTTGCTTCAGGGGCTGAGCCAAGGGGCAGCAGCTCCAACAGCCTTGTCTGCTCTGAGTCAAGTGTCTTATTTACAAGCAACTTGTCGAGCTTTCTAAGCCAGAGGAGCAAGAGTCAAGTGGGTTTTTTTTTAATCTTTGCATAATATTTCCCTTGATTTAGTGACCTGGGTCTGGCTGCCCACTGAAGCAGCCATAATAAGCCCCACAGATAACAACATTTGACTGTCTCAGTGGAGAAAACTCCACAAATAATCTAAAAAGGAGGAAGAAGCACTTAGACTCCTGGGTCAGACTGAGGAAACCATTAAGCCTGGAGCTGGCACAGCCTCCACATCCCAGAGCAGAGCTCCAGGAGACTCACAGGCACCCTCACCACAAACCCACCAGGAAGGCAGGGTCAGCTCACATAGCAAAGTCCCACAACCACATCCAAGACCTGCAGCAAATGCAAATTCGGCCTCAGGAAGCAGCAAAAAGCAGTATTTGCCAGAGGTGATGAAGCGCAGAAGGGAAGGGAAGGAGGTGAGATCAGCAGCAGGTGACTCAGGGTTTCAACAGAAGCCCTGCTGCTCAGATCACAGAGGTGAGCACTGAGGCAGTTCTGCTCACCAGTGACACCTTATTTTGTTCCCCAAATAGGTGATGATGCAGGGAAGAGCCCACAAGGCTGCAGATCTTTTGCTTGAAAGGCTGCAAAATCCAGTCAAAGAAACTGGAAAACTCCAGACAATCTGTGAAAGGAACTGGCTGCAAAACCTGCACGCCAAATAAAGAGCCAGTTTTAACAACTTCAGGATTAAGAGAAACTGTTCCTCACTCCCAAGAAAAAACATTCCTCCCGTGGGATAAAGAGAAAGCAGTGATGAGCATGAGTCTGACAGGCTAGCAAGGGATAAATCCACCCATCAGAAACCCAGGGTCGAATGAAGGTCAGACACGTGTAGGTATCAGCTTGGGTCCTGAACTGAGCCTCTTCAAGCTGAAACCCTCACTTGCCCTTTTCTGAAGTCACCTCCTTGTTTTGCAGATGCGGCTGGAGAAGGACAAGTTTTCTGTAAACCTTGATGTGAAGCATTTCTCCCCTGAGGAGCTGAAGGTGAAGGTGCTTGGGGACATGATAGAAATCCACGGGAAGCACGAGGAGCGCCAGGTACTTCTGCTTTAGCTGTGCAGCTGATAGAGTCAGTGTGAACTTCTTCACCTGTGGTTAAAACAAGGAGACTGCAAAACAATCTTTTCCTGTTGTTTTATCAACCAACCCTAATGGAAGATGCTCTGGGCAACCCTCGCTCCCCCCCATTCCCAAAGCTGACCCTAGACTGGGCAGCAACAGGGTGGAGATTTATTGCTGATGTTACATGAACTGTGAACTGAACTGGAAAACGATCTTTGAAACAGGCATTTCTGGGCCTTCTTCTTTCTGGGAAGAGGCCAGGAAAGAGGGAGGCAGTCAATAAACTGACAATGAACTGTTATAATTAAACCAGGTAATGAATCAGTGCGTTGCCCTGTTCCGTTACCATGAGGCTGCCTCTTCTTGAAAAAAATCTATCCTTTTGTAATCCTTAAAGCTTGTGTCCTGCTGCCAGTCACCCCATGGGGTGCTGCCTCTGGAGGCCTGGGTGGCAACTGGGCAGACAGAAGTCAAAAGCCCAAAGCTGTATGGTTAAGCCAAACCAAAACAGGGTTTGCTAGTCCCTGTCTCCCTCCCATCCCCACCTCCTTGCCAGAAGGAGATGAATCCACATGATGAAGTATCTATGTCACTGGAATTGTCAGCTCTAAGAGCTTCTGGGGGCACAGGTCTGTCAGGCAGGAAACACAGCATTACTTGTAGCTTGTGGAAGTCTGAAATCTGAGCTTCTGCACATTTTTTCTGGCTATGGAAAGAAGCAAGCAGA